TCTGAAGCTCACTTTAAAAGAGAATAGTCAGTTGATTAGGGCGCCATATTCTTGATGTTTTTTGGAGCATTCGCTTTTCTAAAATTGCAAGATTTTTCCTCTGAAAGCGTCAGTTAAACGACCCAAAGTAACAAATTGGCTCTAATAGAGTGAGATTTTTCCTATCACTAGCTTTACGAAATATTCTTCTGCTTCAAACTCGATCTTATGCACTGAATGGTCATGAGTCAAATATTACAATAAATCCACGAAGTACGATCAGATTCCTCAAATATTGTGATGCTTTGACTCTCGCACTTTTCGCTACCAAGTAAGATTTGTTATTGACCTTTAGAAATGTCGTGTTGTTGTTCTGCGCAAGACGAATCAGAAGAACCTAAGGCAACAAAAATTTATGTTACACCTTCACGGTAAGTACCTATACAGCATTAGAAAAGATTAAGAGTTCATGTGATGGTTTAATGTATTTCAATATGAGAATTATTCCAACGTTGAGTGGCTAATCAGTAAAAATTGGCTTCCGTCTCCTTATAGTATTGAGATCTTTTCAGCAAAACATTTATGAGCTCTAATCTGATAGTCTTTTTGTGCTCTAGGGATGCTCCGAATATTATCAGATATTTGGTGCACATTAGTGTTATGATGGCAAAACTTTAGAAGTTGTGCTTCTAACAATCGTATCGTAATTTTATAGCATATTATGAATTACATGTTATATATTATATGTTGCATAAAATTTCTTTATTCTGAAATTGTTGGGGTCTATTTGTCAATATTTTCTGATTTTGCTCAATCTTCGATCATCTTAAAATCACTTAATTGTTATCAGCATGCCACGTGTCAAAAAATGTTGGCATTTTTCTAACATTAAATGTAGGCATTTTTCATCTAAAGTTTTTTCAAAGCGGTCGTTTAGGTGCACAACGCATAAAATCGTCTTTTTTCTCAATATATTATATTTCGTTGTCTTACCCTTAGTCAGGGGTTTAACATCCCAGAGATCTATATTAGAGAAATATTTTTATTTTACAAATTTTATTCTCATCTTTTAAGTTTGAAGTGGGCTGCTTTGATCTTATTGAGCTTTGTTCTGACAATGAGTGAAGAGGTTGTGATTCAGCATAAAGCGCAAGAGGCAGTATAGGGATTGAGTACGCAAAGCATGTAAAAGTATATAGTTATGATGTCACGTGAAAACGTTTTTTAACGAAGCTATGGAAGGAGCCCTCAAATGATTCTTCATGGGAAGTGTTACAAATCCAGTAAGATCTACTGCTATGAAGGTGGGAAAACTCTAGTGCCTTGAAGTTGATCGATTAAGATTTTAACATTATTTACATTAACATCTTGATAGATGTCATTTCCTTAAAATTTTCTACAAATGTCACAATATAGGTACTACTAAATTACATCTGGTCTTTCGCCCAACTCATCACTTATTATGACCAGCATGGCCCAAAATATTGAAGTCATGATTCCGACCCTGTATCCATAAAAGGCAATCAATCACTCTTAATCGCTTACAGGTTTGAAGATAATTCAGGCTCAAGTTAATGAAAACCCGCATGGCGCTTGTAAAAGCGACTTTCATGGGGTGCTCATCACTACTCAGAAAGGCAGCTTCCATAAGCTAGTTGTTCTGAAAGTAATTTTAAGGAAGTGATCATCAGAGTTCGGTGCCTTGATGATGCATTCTTTTCTTAGCATCCATCAGCGGTTTAGCAAATGTTATTTGATGGAATTTGAAGGCCTACCACAATTATAACTTTTGTCACAATTTCGGCTTATCACTTACTTCTGCAATGTCAGCACTGATATCCAGCAGTTCTCATGTAGCCGTCAAATGGCTACCGATGCTTAGTGATCAAGTTTCGAGGAATAAAATTGAGTTAGCTATGGTCGTAAAATCTTCATACTGTTTATATTTCAGCTTCATGGTAGCCTCACATGTTCTAATTCGCTCATTACCTTTATTTTTATTTTAATTTACAATTTACGTGTACATGGCAGAAACGAACAATGATATCTCTGACACAAGAGGATAATAGAATTAATCAGAAAAATTATGAAAATAAATTGAATAAAAGGAATTCAAAAAACTAAAATTAAGGAAATTCAAAAATATTTCTACAGCGCTGCTCTAGTAGCTGAAGCATTGGTAAAACAATGTCGCTGTCGGAATAAGTGCTACATTCAACTAGCTTATCAAACTGTAGCATTTTTCTCTTAGCGATACCTTAGTAGAATGAACATTAAAGATTTTTTTGCCGAAATATCTATTCATAAATTAAATTGAATAATTGTTCAGAGATCCCAACGCCATGGTTGCTGTTCCTAAGGTAACAGAAACATCTAAAAAAGGATTAGATTTTCCAAAGGTAAGGCAGTTGTCCCTTCTCTTGAGACACAAAATCCATATTGCTGTTTGCTGTTCAGGTCGAGCTTCATCTCCATCTTGATGGATCAGTTCGTTTTTCTACATTGCTCGAACTTTCTCTGTAAGTTCAGCGCTTCAAATTTATAAGGAAAACTTCAAATAATGGTTTTGCAGAGGCAAAGGTGTGCCAATAAAGGGTGCAGTGACTGTGGAGGACATGAAGAGGGCGCTGATCACACATGAACCAGCTAATTTAGCAAAAGTACTAGAAGCATTTGATCTTCTCTTACCAGTAATCCGGTCAGTAAATACTTATATTCCTGGATCTCCAAAGAAGCTTATGAATAAATGTTATTGTTGAAGCGGTGATGCGGAAGCTATAGAGAGAATAGCCTATGAAATGTGTGAAGATCAAGCAGCAAATGGTGTTATATACTTTGAAGGACGGTATTCTCCTCAACTTCTCGTTGCTCCAGGTGGTGAGGTAGTAAACTTGCCATTCACATTTTACCCCGTCCTTCTGCATTTTTATTTTCGCTATGCATTTTAATGTTACCACGAAGCAAAAGCTCATTTAGCTTACCTCAACTGGCGTAGTGGAAGCGGTAAAGAGAGGATTTGACCGCGGTGAAGCAGACTTTGGTGTTAAAGCGCGATCTATTGTGTGCTGCATTCGTGGACTTCATCAATATGCAGATGATGTGCTTCGAATTGGTAATTGCTCTATACATTCTACCTATAACCTGCAATGTTTATGGAGTTCTCTTCAATTAGTCAGTAAGTGAAACTAAATTTAGCCACCGAATGCAAACACCTTGGTGTTGTGGCAGTTGACGTAGCTGGTTCTGCTCATGGTGCAGACGAGCAGTATGAACCAGAAGTTGTGCACATGTTCGAGGTAAGCC